AGTGGGGATGGACGGATGGATGGATGGATGGATGGATGGATGGAGACAGACCAACCAACCAACCAACCCTACAGCCCCTCTGCTGAGCTCCCCAGGAGCACCTGCAGTACCAGCAGCCCCCAGCTTAACCCTGCACCATGTGCAACTGTCCAGACAGAGCCTCTACCCGGCTTTAACGGAGCAAACCCATCCGCTCTTTGGGACGGGGAGCGGTGTTGCTGTTGGGTCATGGCTGCACCGGGGCCAGGTGAACCTGCACAAGGCGCTGCTGGTGCTGGTCTCCTGCATGACCCAGTTAGAGCAGTTCAAAGAGCTCCTCGCATGCTGGGCTGGTGTTTCTGCCTGAGCCATCCGCTGTTCCAACCAGTTTAATTACCCACATCTGAGTCATCCCCAGCCCTGCTTTATCAAAGCTTGCAGCCTTGCAGACAAACCACCCTTTGTCCTCCTCCAGACCCTGTCAATAGGGAATTGCCAAGTACCAATTAATCAGCAGCTCCTGCTGCGACGGGCCAGGGAGATGGTGCCCCAGGAAGATGGAGATCAAGGAACAGAGAGGGGCCACTGCCCTCCCGATGGGACAGAGCTGGGACTAGAGCCCGGGTCCTGATCCCACCCCAGGAAGATGATTGGGGATGCACATGCTTCCCCCAGCAGGGACCAGCCACCGCCCCTGCCATACCCACATCCTGGCCACTCGCCTCCCTAATGCCCAAAAGCATTTCAGCTCTCTGGCATGGCCAGGTCTCTTGTGCGGTGGTCCAGCAAGCCCCCTAGATGCAGAGACACCTGCAAATCCAACAGTGGCAGCTCTTGGCCAAGAGAGAGGTGCTTATGGCTGTGCCAGCTAGAGCAAGGCAAGTACCTGTGAGCGTGAGATCATCCAGCCCAGCGAGGATGGCTGATCTGGTGATGGCTCCAGCAGGTCCATCAGCAACTCCTGCTTCCCAAGCCAGCTGTGGGCCTCTGGAGATGAAAACCAGTGCCCAATTTCTAGGCTGTGCCTATGCAGTTCACGGGCAGGGCAGTAAATCCCATTTGCTGTGCATCGATTTTTAGGCTGGCAGGTCTGAACGGTGATGTGAGACATGCCCGGTGCTCAGCAGGGCTCATGTGCATAGGGGTGGAGCAGAAACAATTTTTCTGGGTGAATGTAAATTTTAAGAAAAAAACTAAGAAAAAGAACTATTCTGGCCCAAATCAAATCCACACGCTGGTGTCAGGGGGTTGTTTCAATTCCAGGTGTCACGTGTTTTCAAATTTGCTTAATACAGCAGAAGTAAGGTTGATGGGGGACATCGAAGTGAAATACCCACAAGTTTTGCTCTGTGGAGATTAATTTTATTTTGGGGGTTTCCTTGTCATTTTAATTCAGGGAGGGGGTGGAAGAGTCAGTTTGGCCAGACTGCAAAACCTCTGAGCAGCTGCTCAGTCTGCACTGGTGGCTGAAAGAGGGTCAGGACAGAGATGTCACCCACCTCTCCCAGCAGCAGCTGGATGCTGCCCCTGACCCAGGGGCGCCTGGAGAAGGGCACAGCCGGTGCAGCCTCACCGGGGATGAGCTGCTCTTGCAGCTCTCTGGCAGAGCAGGAGAGCCGACCGGCTGCCAGTTGAGCTCTTCCACCTGTGAATCGCATGGTCATGTGTGTGTGCCTTGCTTAGTGCTGATAAGGGAACCATTATGGTCCTCCTCCGCTCACCTGGCTTGGTATCAGCGTCCTGCTGCTGCTGGTGACAGCCAGGTAGCGATTTCTAGGCCTAATTGATAATTAGTGAAATCTGGCCTTGGCACAAAGAACACAGTGAGCTAGAAAGCTACATGGGTGTGGTTCCCCACTGCCTGTGCCTGTAATAGGGAGGAGCACCCAGCACCTCTGCGTCCCTCGGAACACTAATTTGCTCTAAGGTGGAGCGAAGGGCTCATGTGAGAGCTATCAAGCTCTCTGCGCAGCAAATAAATACAATGTGCCTGCACCTGATGGTGTTGGGGTGCAGCAGTGAGCTCTGCACGGGATGAGGAGCTGCTCTGCAGCCTGAGGCTCTTGCCTATTGAAGGGAGGTGACGATTGGGCTGGAGCATGCTGGGAAAATGGGAGATTGGCACCGGGTGCTGCACTCCCATCTTTCTTATCGCAGGACCCTAAGGAGTTAACACAAAATGCCACCTACTGTTATTTTATCTCTCCTCCATTAAGGCAGCTCTGACACTGGCAGCAGAACAATGCTAAATTCTGATTAGCTAAGGTTTTCCAGCAAGAGGGGAGGCACAAGAGGGTGGGGAATTAATACTATTCTGCATAATTTTAAATCTAAATTCCATTTCTTTTATTTTCTTTCTCTAGGAAGCAAACAATCTAGGGGGTTTTGTACTCAATTTCTTGCTTTCATAATCTAAATGAATTGTTTGCAAGTAGGAGCCAGCTGCAAAGCTGGCAATCTCTGATCAAATCTGCCTTTCTCCTGGTTCTAGCAATCATTAATTTGCTCCTCAACTCTGATTAGCTAATCCTGGCTGCCTTGTGGCAGTTTGCAGGGAAAAACAGTGTGTGAGCTGTAGCTCCCTTTCACAGAGCTGGAGCTGGCAGCGGGGTGACGGGATTGATTTCTGCAGGGTCCATGGTGCTCCTAGTTGTCAGCTCTCTGGAGAGGAGTGGGGTGCTCTGAGAAGAAAGGCTGGCGAGGTTATTTATGGAATCCTGGCATTTTGGAAATAGCAGAGGATGATTCTTTCCCCTGCTCTGTGCAGGGCGTGCTAGTTTGTTACACCGAGGCTAATTAGCTGGGCTTTAAAATAGGAATCGAATACGGTGTAGCAACCTCCCTCAAATATCTGGGTGCTGCCCCATTTTTATGATGTTGCTGGTGTGTCTGGGGGACGTGGCAGAACCGTTACCTCTATTTCATGCATGGGAAACGGAGGCATGGGTCTTGGTCTTTGCGTGTTGGTGGATGGAGGCTTAGAAAGAACAAGCCTCAGGGGCAGGGCTGTCTGGCAGGGGATATGGTACAGGGTGCCTTTTGTGCCAGCCCCTGGTTTAATACCTGCTGAATTAAGAGTCATAGTCTCAACTCCTCCTGCAAAGCTTGGAGAGCTCCTGCCTGCTAGCAAGCATGGACCGGCCAGGGGTGTCCAAATGGGATGTCACCCCCTGAGGCTGACTGCTGCCAGTCACCAGAGCATCACCTCCTGATGTCCAACTCCCTCTGATCCCATTTTTCACAGATCCAAGGGCCCAGGCGAGTTGGACATGGCACTGGTGGCCCACGTGCCACTATGCTGGCTGGGCACAGGGCTGCTGCTGGCCCCGTGTGCCCCTTTCTTGCATGTAGCTCTGCAGGCCTTGTGTTTCAGCTGCTATCTGACTGCGTTTTATTCCAACACGCTCCTTTTTCAGATCAAATTCCCTGAGTGCTGGGGGTGGATCCTTTTAATTTTCATTTGTTTCAAAGCTGTACATGGCTTACAAGCATGACAGAAATGCGCCTGGAGTGCAGGAAATGGCCTACTTAGCTGCAGGAGAAGAGCAGGCTTTTCCATCATGCTGACTCCTGGGACCCCATCGTCCCAGGGGACTGGGGCAGCTGCCTGCTTCCCTTGCGGGCACATGTTTCAGGAGCTTTTCTTCAGGAGATGTTTGGTCCCACCATAAAGCCCAAACAGCCTGTCCAAGCAGAACAGTGCTGGAGAGCAGAGGTTTGGAGGGTACTTCCAAGTTCTGACACTGAACTGCTGTGTAAGGTTGGGGCAGGTCCCCCATCCACCCAGCTGACCATGACAATCTCTTTTTGCTCTTTCAAGGTAGTTTAGAGAAGGGGAGAGACCGAGGCAGGACTATTACCAGCTGAGGAAGCAGTGCTTGCAGGGCCAGACCTCCAACAGCTTTTGGATTTACTGGACACTTTCAGCCTAGCCTGAAAGGGGACAGAGATCTGAGAGGTGTTGAGTTCTCACAGTTTGTGTGAGCTAATGGCTGGGGAGGAGAAGGACTCATACCAGGCTCTCACAGAGGGAAAGGCTGTGCACAGAAGGGGTTCACCCTGCCAGCAGCACCCAGAGGTGGGCTGGCCAGCCAGCTGCATGCTGCTCTGCCTTAATACCACTTGGAGAATGGACAGAGACTGTTCTTGCCACTTCTGTGATGTCTGGAACTGGAGCATGTTGAAGTCTTTGCCTTAGCAGAACAGACAGGAACCTGAGGCCTCCTGGGCTGAGAAGAGCCTTCCCCAAAGGAACTGAATTTGCACAGTGGGTCCCAGGAAGACTGAGGACCTTCGTATTAACACCAGCTTGCTTGCCAGAGAGCTCAGAGAAAGGACTCGGCCAAGGAGGAATTGCACTAGGATTGGTGGCTGCAGTAGAAGGAGGAACAAGAGGCAGGGTTGTGTGCCCATGGGAGGGCAGCGAGCTGGGGCTGGGCAGACAGTGGTGACAGGGCTGCCAGAGCAGAGGCAAGTGAACATTAAGCTCTCCAGCTTTCAATCTTATTCAACGGCTCTACCTGGTATACTGAACTCTCCAGGGATCCAACCTTCCCTCAGACTATTTCCATTTTCTTTACTGTGGTTTTGTCTTTGGTTCAAAGAACATAGTAGCAGCAGAAAATGGAGTCTCTCCATACTGTCTTTGGGGCCTGGGGAAGATGGAGTCCCCAAGCACCTGAGAGAAAGACAGCAGTGAACCCCTGACCCTATTTATTTTACTTCCTGAGTTTTTCCCAGCCAGAGAAATGCTCCAAACCTCGCTCCGTGAACACGAGCAGATTGTCTCATTCCACTAGAAACCATGGCTAGGTTCAGAAACATTTGTTCTTGGGCACTGATCCTTCCTCCCACCACTCTCATTTATCTTACTGATGCTAATACCAGTCTTCAGACTTCATGTTTTAATGACAAACAAATAGCAGTGCTCTTAGAAGCTGGGAGTCCCCTGTGTGTCCATCTGCAGAGACACCCACAGTGGCATCCACACATAGGCTGCCTGGGCGCCTTGACTGTTTTGGTTAGCAATCCTGGGATTCAATTTGGTGGATGCTCTCAGATGTCAGGGAGTCAAAAAGGCAACAGAGCAGCTCTTCGGCCTGGGGAGAAAAGAAGGAAAAGAAGGGGTTGGGGAAGAGCTGTGATTTCTCTGCATCGCAAAGAAACTTCTTTTCAGAGGTAGGTTTCTCGTGCATGGCTGCAGGCAGGCAGCATAGTGAGGATGTTACCAGGTTGAATTAGTCCCAGCACAGAGGTGGCTGTAAGTGTCCCGTAGCAGGGAAATGTCTGCTAGTTGTAACCATTGTTTGACTGTTCACAAGATTCACATGTTCAAGGAAAACCAACAACATGCAAGGTGCCAAGTGGGAAATCTAACTCTGCCTCTCCTTCCCAGCAGCTCTATTGGCATGGCTGGTTCTGAGATGGGAAGGCCAGCTTAGTGCCGAGGGCTTCAGGACCAGTCTATTCTGACTGTGCTAGTGAGCACCGTGTTCCTCTAAAGCATTATACATACTGTGGTGTCAATCCACCCCACACAGCCCTTGGGGCCCTCCTCCTGCCAGCACTCTGCTTTTCCTCATAGGTTTTTAGGTCTCTTTTACAGGACTCCAGCCCTTCTGCCTGCTGCTGAGGGGCTAAGGATCATGCCAAGAGTGGCTGGGATGTGTTTTCCCTGTGTTGCTGTGCTCCAGTCCCAGGTTTCAGCTGTCTCTGCCGGGAGGGAGATGCTGGAGCAGCCATTGTGGCTGCTGGCAACAGCTTCAGGGCTCCAGGCAGAGTGGAGGGATTAAGTGCTGCCTGCCAGTGGAGGTTCAACTGCACATCTGTGGGCTCTTACTGAGGAACAGCTGTGCAGAGACGGTGCCGTCTGCCTGCTCTGACCTGCTAATGGTGGCAGGTCAATGGCGTACTGCACTGAGGGATGGCCACCCCAGCCTCACGATCTCATCCCAGCCACAGTGCAGAGCTGCATGTGAGGAGAAACTGTTCAGCCACAGGACATCCCAATCGTGAGGCTGAGCACAGCACTCCCTGACAGCTCTCTCATCGCTGGGGAGGTTCCAGCCTGGGTATGGACCAGGTGCAGGGACATCTGGGACTCCCTCACAGAGGCCCTCTGGAAGTTCAACAGCCCCTAATGGTTGCACCAACAAAATGTGTCTCTATTGCTTCCAAATGTGAGCTGCTCTGCGTGTGCCCAAGAGAAACCTGCATGAGGAGCAGGCATCTGCAGGCTCACTGCCTGAGAATAAGGAACTTCCTAAGCATGAATTCATCTGCTCCCAAGGCAGATGTTTCAAACAGGACAGGTGAAAAGTGCTATAGAAATGCTTGCTTCTTTCAGTGACTGCAGAAGGAGGCAAGACAACTAGCCCAGACACAGATGTTAGCACTGAAATAGTCCACATTTGGAAAGCTTATTTCTCACCCTATTGCCTAGTCCCAAATCACACAGGGAGCAAGTATGAAATTTCTTTTCACTTCCGTGGCTTGACTCCACCAGTAAACGCTGCAGCTCTCCTCAGACCATGAGGATTTGAAATCCATGTTCATTTAACCCTCCTGAACTTTGCCTGATATCATGTTGTTGCTCATTAGCTTTGACCTGGAAAGCCAGGCTGACATTTCATAAACTCATTAGCAAGAGATCAGAGGATCAAACATTGTTTCTAGGGACATCCTTTGAGGCACAGTCATCCCCTGGTGAGCTTGCTCCTCAGATCTTGCTCTGTGATTTCTAAACCTACCCTGAACTTTGGAGCAAAAGGCCCATTTGAAAATAAACATTACTTGCTGCTATGCTTCTTGTAACCCACAACAAGAAGTGCTGCACCCACCACTGTCCCAGGATTAGAATCGTGGTCTAAACTCTGAACTGCTGTGAGTAGCCCTTGCTTCCACCAGCGCCAGAGGGATTTGACTCAGTGGCCCAGGCTTCCAGAAGCAGGGAAAAGGGCTGAGCATATTTGCTTTTTCTCTTATCTATCACAGAAAGTACTATAACCCTCTTTCTGATAGGCTGATTCCCCATAGCCATAAGCAGATGGGATTTTATGTCAGCCAGAGATATGTAATGTCCTTTTCAAAGCAAATCAGAAGACAGCCTGGACTTGCTGCCCTGTCACATTACTTGGCAACAGCCTGGCACCCTGGCAGCAGTAAGCGCTGTGCTATGACAGCCTTGCAGCTATCGCAGAGCTGTGCAGGCAGACCTTCCCAGGCACTGCAGCGCATACAATCCAGCTACGCCCGGGGAGAATTTTACTGTGCCTTAGGGAAAGCTGCTGAAAACAGCAGCTGTATGACTTTCGGGAAGTTTGGGGTAGTTTTGCCTGTGTTAAAAGTAGGAACACAGACTTCAAAGAGCGCTCTGTGTCTTTTAAGGCTCAATCCTTAGAGCACTGGTACTGAAGGCAGCAGCTCTGCTACATTATATGAGGTTACAAACACATTTCACTCTCCCACTGGGTTTTCTTGGGAAGCAAAAGGGATCCACAGGAGAGGCTTCTCCACTTGCTACTGTTTCTCATTCTCCCCAATTCTTTTACACCTCCTAGTTCTAAGTCTTCAGACACTGCCTCCTGTATCCAGATATCTTGTTTGTTTTGTACTAAATTTTGATGATTACAGCCAGAGTTTTAAAGGTGTTTGTGCAGTTTATTCCCATTAGGTGCCCACATGTCTATAAAAACCTCGAGCTTAGTGTTTCCTTTCTTGGGATGAGCTACTGAGAAAATATTCAGCTAGTCCATCCCTGGAATGGCCAATAGCTTAATTTCTCATCTTCCATTTGGACTTGGGCTTCTGAAACATAATTTCCCAAACAGGACATGTGCCAGCTTGGCAGTAGGGCTGAGTGAACATTTCCTGTCACTTATTTTTGACAAGTATCACAGATATCTTATGAAGTGTTGATTCTTCATAAGAAGTAACTGACATCTACAGAAAATATTGAATCTTTATCAAAGTCCCAAAATATTTTGATTCAAAGTAGTGCCACTGGTGTAATGTGGAAGACAGTTTGACAGGGTTTTGGTCCCACCTTCCACCATGTGCTGGGCTCTCAGTATAAGCCAAGGCTTGGGGCTGTCATGAGGAACCACCTCTGTCTCATGCAACTGAAATTTTCTTCCAAAATTCAAACAATTTTGACAAGTTTCATTCATCACAGGGGCACAAAGGACACATATCTGTACCATAAACTTCTCTACTTGCCTGCTTCTCATTTTGGGGATAAAGGAGATGCTGCACAGTGTCCAGGACTGACTGCTTCTGCCAGCAGACGCTAGGGGTAAAAAAAAAACCAGAAGCCAGCGTTACTTTGCCATCTAAGCTGTCAGAGGCTGCAGATGACCTAGCTTTGAGGAGGACTATGCTCTGTGCCAGCAGCTCTGGCCATGTGCATCTGTTACTGAACTTCTTTACACAGATAAATCCTGGGTTTTACAAAGCTTTGTCTAAATGGATTTGGATTCTTAAAATATAAGCCTTCAAACAAACAGTAATGACCTGTTGCATAATGGGGTCTCTGGGGCAGTGGGAAACACACATAAATATAGATAGTGAGGTCTGTGCAGGGGGCTTTTTCTCAATAAAGATAATGTGTGTGTTTTCCCCAAAACCCAGGACTTTCTAAGCTGCCTTCAGCAGCAGGGTCTGCTTCACTAGTCCTTGTTTTCCTCTGGTCCACCTCAAGCCACACATGAGTTGACCACAAGACATATTCAAGAGAAATTCAAAGGCAAGATACAAATTTCAAAATTGCCTTTTAAACTAACTCTATGCTCAGAGTGTTAGTCTTGAAAACTCTCCAGAGGCTTTGGAAACCACTCCCTGCTCCCTGCCCCCATATCCAGGTATTGTGCTTGGCAAGAGTTTTCCCTTCAGTGGTTTTCAACAGCTCCAAGATTTTACATCTCGTGTGTTCATTTTTTGATTTCTACACCTCCTTTCCCTCCAAAGCTCCCACAGATGAGCTTCCTATAGGGATAACATCACTCCCTGCTAACAGCAATTAACACTTGGTAAGAATGTTTAATCAGAGAGAATAACATCCAGCTCAGTTCCCTAACACTTGACTGTTGTTCTGATTGCAGTACATTGTGTAAATCCAGGAAGGTATAAGGCCTAGTCTGTACCCCGATTTTCTTCTGATGCAGCTAGGTTTTTGGCAGGCTTTAGTCAAACACCGCTTACCAAGTTCAGTACAACATTAACTAGGCAAGTTCCTAAAGACTGTGCACAATATAGTTAGGTCCTAACAACCTTATGGCCATCTGAAAGTACTTTTTAAAAGCTCAAATAACCGTAGAGGAGTAATCAGTATTAAATCAGTATCACCTATTAAGGTAGCTAAACCTAGTTTGTCATGCATAAAAAGCAGAGCATGCCTTTCTTCCAGGAGTTGCTTTGAATCTACTTGTAAATTCTTCCCTCTGCCACCCTGCAGCTAGGAAATCTGGCTGTAAAAACAAGTTATGACAGGGAAAATTCAAATGCTTTATACTGGATATCCAGGCAGCTGGATGCTGACAGAACAAGAAAGGTAAGTCTCACATCATTTTTCCTTGTCTGGATAGGATTGTGTCACTTCCTTCTCTGGATTCTCCCCCCAGTCCCCACTGCTCTTAGGCTGTACTTCAGCTTCCCCTCACCTCTTCCAAACGCTTACTTCACTCTGCCCTATGAGTTGCCCTTGGCACCCTCCCAGATTCTCCCAGATTCCTAATTTGGTTCCACTCTTGGCAGTCAATCAAGCTCACAGGCTGCTTTTGTGCCCCCACCTGCATAAATTTTGTCCCTTTCTCTGTTCTTCCTGCCCTTTGGTGCAGAAATAATGCCTTCATAGATGTCCAGAGAACAGTGGGCACTGCTGCTGAACAATAATCAGACAGAGTAGGCACTGCTGCTGCTGAACAATAATCACTACACAGTTATGAGGGTCTGTGTCTGTCTTTAAGGCAACTGCTCTGCACAGCACATCCTCCAGTGATTGAATGTCTCTCCTTGATGTGCCACTGCTAGAGCTGGCTTAGGAAAGCTTTAATAGGCTCTGAACTACGAGCAGTTATACTAGCAAAGCCCACGTTGTTCCTCTCAACACCTGATTCCTCCTTCTTATCACAGCCCATCTCTGACATCACATCCCAGGCTTCCATACAGATGGCAACGTTTCTCCCTGTGGCACAAAGCCTAAGTAATGTGGCTCAGCTGTGAATCAACTCCCAGGGCCGTAAAATAATCTCTTACATGGTGGTGCTTCAGCAGTGCAGCTAAAATGCAGGCCAGAACCTGTGCAGTTATTGGAATCCTGGGCCATGGCAGTAAGAGTGAAATAAATATACAGTGATTTACTCAGTACAAGAAAGGTCACGTGGCTCCTGCTGACGGAGTCATAAGTGTAATTAACCTCAGATGTTATTTTGAAATGTTTATAAACTAGGCAATGAAGATGTCTTAGCATGAAGTGTCCTTATGAGACACTAGTTAAGTCAGGCTGGCTTTTCAAAGATATTTGCAAAGTTGATTTTAAACCGTATGATGGCTTATGATACAATAAGGGTGTGCATTTACTGTTGGCTAAAGCTGATCTACCCAAGGATCACTGCCTCCCCTCCTCCCCATCCTTGGGCACACCTTGCTGCCCCTCCCTTCCATAAGCATCATCGATCATGAAGGCAAATTTTTTTTGTAGAGCTGGTTTTAAATGGCTGCATGATTACTAGTTCTGGCACTGGGGTAAGAGGCAGAGTGGATCCTGCCATTTGGGAGCACCTCCTAACAGCCATAATTTATGCACATATATTTTGCAGTTTGGCAAGGAAGTTTATCCTTTGTACGGACAGCCATACTGGCACAGACCAGGATGAGGGGTGAAAGACACAGCTGAGACTGACATCTATTCCTCCCCGCTTCCTTCTCAGCCCCTCAGCTCACTGTGAATGGCAGTGAGAAGCCACTGTGAGGTTTGCTCTGGGGTTGCTGCCTTAAGACTGGCAATCTTAAAACATATCAAGTTAAGCCTACAGAAGAGGGAAGCACTGGGTTGCAGCTGATCTTGTTATGCAGCACCCATGACTCTGATGAGCAAAAGCTCATAAAAAAAAAAAAAAGAAAAATAAAGGAAAATAAAGAGGTGGGGGATCTTGTACTGGCTGTCAGCAGAGCTGGCAGCCACTGTCCCAGAACACCCTTCAGCAGTGATCTCTGGGGTTCCCAACAGCTCACCTTTTTCCTGTAAACCAGGAAAAGAGTGGGAGAAAACTCACTTAGAAAGGTCTTGGGTAACTTGCTCTTTGCTTCCCCTTAGTGCTGTACCTTGCAGGGTGAAAGGTTTGGGATGTGGCTCCCAAGGGTGTGATTTTAAATGAATGGGAGCAATGTCTAAATTTTGTCATTAGCTTAAAAACATTTTTTAACTATTCTTCCCAGGTGTGGCCTTGTGACTGAGCACCGTAACATTTCATCAAAGTACGAGAACTCCAAGGTGTCTACCAACTTGGATGTTCCGATTTGAACCCCTTGATGCTTGTAAACTCCAGCATCCTTGAATTCCTTATGCCTGTCCCATTGACAGTGTTATCTGGAAGTCCTCCAGATCGTACAAGCCAAGGCCACAACAGTCTTATCGGTGTGGCTGCTGGACTGGTCTATACCGAATGTGTCAGAAAAAAGACTCTCTTGGCTTCCTTTCACAGAGGAAACCATGTGCGTGAATTACACATCACATTGCCAAATACAAGCCCCTGTGCAAGGAAACTTTCCCTCTGGGGAACAGTGGGTTAATTGGCCTGATAATCATTCTATTTCACTAATCAGTCCCTGTAGAGGGTTCTGTTGGTTTTACCAGGCTTATACATCCTCTACCCAGCATTTCTGGTAATTTATTTAAGAGGCTAATTTTTGATTTTGCTCTCTGACGTTTAAGTATTTTTTTTTCATAACAAACATAGAATCTGCTAAGATATTCCTCCTAGGAATTTTATTGATTCAGCAGGTCTATTTCCAGTGTGAGCCCTTATTTCAGAGAAATCCCTGTATTTGCGGAACCATGCCACCAAGCCTCACAGACACTCCAAGTCCTTAACAAACAACACAACTCAGTATTTAAAGTCCTGAGTATGGCACACATGACTTTGAAACTGGGGAACACTCTTAGGTACTGACCCATTAACAACAACGTAACTTAGGAAGAATGGGTTGCCTTTGAGTGGCACCTGACCTCATGGGGAGTCTGAACTGGAAGTGAATTACAGAGAAGAAAGTCAGCTGCCCTCAGTCAGATCACAAGCTCTCTAGCAGGGGGTTGAGACAGTGCTGTTAAAGCGATATCGTCCTCACTTACCTGTCCAGCAGGGAGTCGAAGCAAATGACTGCATTGTCTCGCTGTGCTGCTAGCACCAGACACAAACCATCCATTAAGAGGGAACACTAGAAGAGAGAGGAGAACAGAGCTTTGGTGTTGCTATCCACTTAAATAAGTCTGTAAGCCTCACTGATGAACTGCTGACAGCACAGATAACTGCTTCTATGCTGTGTGAGGGGATGAAAGTCACAAAGCAACAGACTCTTTCAAATTGAAAGAGTATCATGTCGGAACTGTTAGTTATCCTGCTCCTATGGCATACTATTATTCCTGTTCCCTTCTCTCAAAGTGAAAATAAGCAGGTTACTTAGGTGTGTTATTCAGTCACTAAGTCTGCTGGAAGCAGGAATACAGAGATAACAGTAAATGTTGCAATATTGTAGCAGAAACACTTATTAGTTGAAGAAGCCCATCTCCCTTCTGGCAAGGGAAAGCAAATACTGTTATGTTCACCTTCGGCTCAGCAGTGCCAGACCCTTCTGGAAACATGCCAGCTCTGCCCAGAGTAATTCATCTCTGACAGGAGGAAGTGTTTCCATCACCAGGAGAGCGGTGCTGCTGCCATGGCTCTCCTTCCCACACGCCGATTCGCTTTGTCCTTCCTAGAGAGCTGTGCACATTCCCGTGTGCAGAGGGATGGCATCCTCAGGGGAACCACAGGAGAAGAAAGTAGTGCTTAGACTAATTGGATGCTAGATGTAATTGCTATTCTATACAGAAGTACTTCAAAGGGATGCTGTCAGTTTAAAAAAATCACAGCCTGAAAAGATCTTACCTGTTCTTATTACAGATAACACCTAAGACTTATAACTGAACGACTGGAAGCACAAATGTTTGTCTGTATTTTTTCAGAGGGACTGCTGTGTGTCTCTGACAGCCTTTTGTTGATTGCTACTTCCAGTATAAGTAGTTTTCCCCCTTGTTTACTCTATGCTCTTGACAGCACTTTTTTGTATATTCTACCTTACTGCTTTGCCCTAGTAAGGTTCCTGAAATGGTGGGCTTCTCCTACACCAAGTGCAAAGAGAAAAACAGTTCGGGCCAGATACAGTGCTGATGTAAAGCAATGTATCTGCTCACCCCAGAAGCACATCTTGTGTTTAAGCCCCATGAGCACTTGCTCAAACCCCGTGCTGGAGTGCAGCTTGAGCTGTCAGCACCAACTAAATGAGAAGCAAAATGAAATCTCTGCCCAGGACTCCAGGGCACAGTCCAAAAAGTGGAAGGGTTATTTAGCACTGTAGAAGAGGATTAATGGGGTGCGATTAGAGAAAGGGAAATAGGAACTGTATTTATCTGGAAAAACAGGATACAGCAGCAGAACATACACAATAGCAGCAACTGCACATTGATAGGTGTATGGAATAAAATGTTTAACGGGGATGTGCCATTCACATTAAGGATCCATTCACACATACTGACGTCAAGGTTAGGTGTCAGTGAGCTAGTGGAGATACAGGAACACAAGTTAGGGACTAGCTAGTAAGGCATGTCGCCCGCATTACTTACCAGTGGTATTAGAGCTCAGATGCAGTGCTGTGCTAATACTGCTACCAAAGCAAGTTTGCTCAGAGCTCACCTGGATACCTTAGCACAGCATGGCATTAAAAGGCTCTCCTTTTGTGCGAAAGAAGCAAAGCACAACTCCAGCTGTTTCATACCTTTGCTGCAACACTGCACTTTGCCCTGCTTAGTGTCTCAGAGATGCAGTGAGCTTGTGGTGCATCCAGGACAGTGAGGCGTACTCCAGTCACTGTGAAATCTTTTCCAATAAGCTGGTCAAGCAGTTCAACATAAGGTGGGTGTTCTGAACCCCGAAGGATTATCCCAGGCAATACGAGGCAAGTGGTTTGGCAGAGGTTATCAAGCAATGGCCGATCTGATGGGAAAAGATCAAAACACAACAGATGCTTATTTTATATCTACCCCCTTCAACTGCTAGTCCTCTAAGTAATTCTTCCCCACCACAGACAACTAACTGGAAGATCAGAGGCACTTAGGCATTGTTATATCATTTGGGATGTTCACAGATGCGATTGCTCCTCCTGAACTGTCAAACTGCTGCATGCCTATGTGTATGTATCTGGAGATCACAAGACAGTAGTAGTGACCCCATTTCAGGAGTCAGACAAGGACAGCTGCTGGTTTGCTACAGGAGATACTATTCCATTTAATTTCTTCCAAGCAAAGAAATCTGTTAATCCAGCTGCTTTTATAATCCAAAATGTAATTCTGATCAGCATACATAAGGCTTAATGTATGTCATATTTTCCTCATGATAAATCTGTCTGTCCAGTAGGCAGCAGCTTTGTGATAATTATTTGCTGAAAGGAGAGGTTTCTTTGTGTGCAAGAGCTACCTCTAGTGTTCAAGATGAGACCATGAAGTGAATGATGTGTCTGGATTGCTGGAGGTGCAGCCTCCAGTGTTGTGCCTGACAGTTCAGAGATCACGTGTGCTTGCTTTTCTAGGGCAGTAACTCTTTGAAATACATTTTCTGAGACACAAACACATCAGGGCTGTACACTGGTTTCCTTTTTACTCTGCTTAGACATCTTCAAAGCAAACAGATCCTCATGCAGCAGGAAATTAGGGACACATACTTTGAGATTTGCTCCTAACACTGGGCTGTACAAAGCTTGCAGAATACTTGCGCTCTCTCCACAACAAGCTATTTCTTTTATTTTATTTTCTGCAATTTCTTCGAAAAATCAAGGAGCACTTCAGTCAGAGTAGACCTGTGATACAGGCCTGGTCCTTTCCCATGGTGCAGTAAGTTGTTTGGGGAAAACACCCTGCCTGTTGGCAATAGCAACACAGGATATTTTGGACTGGGAACACCTGCAAGTCTCCTCTCACTGCAGCTTTGTGCTCTGAACACAGCTTGAGCTGATATACCCACAGGAAACACAATAATGTAATCACATCTCTACAGCTACCCAGACGAGAAGGTCAGAAAGCTACATGCAGAACAGCCTGGTCATCTCATAAAGCTCCTGTTACATACACACAATTGCCAGTCTCCTTTCAGGACTCATACATGGCTTGGGAATGTCAGTAACATTTTGAGACAGGCCTCACCTCTCTCCGTATGCATCAGTTAAGTCTTAAACCCTCATGCAGCCAGCCTCCAATGTACTAGCATGCAATGTAAGAAAAGAAACTTGCCTGAGGATTTGTGATTTTTGTAATGATCATGAAGCACGTGTAGGGCACAGCCCAAAGCTAACATAAGACACTGGAAAGAATTCATTGATAACTACCTTGGGAAAAATCCTCCTTCAGAGACCCCCTACACAAAAGTAACTTGGTGCCTACCAAGCAGTTACGCTGTCATTAAGGCAAAGGCCTTGACTTACTACCATCCTCCTTGCATCTTTTGGTATGGGGCCAATGCCCAAAACTCCTGGATCAGTAAGGGTTTAAGGTGGGAGGTGATGGTCTGTAACTCTGTAGCATTTTTATCATACTCATCTGCCAGTCCACAACAATCTTGTGGTTTTACTGCTGGGATTAACAACTGCAGCAATCAGGCATAGCACAGGAACATTTTCTCAGCTGCCCACCCTCCTGCTTGCCAGTCACATCAGAACTCAAGCTGCAGGAATGAGAATGACCCAGTTCCAAACATGTCTGCTCCCCTGTGAACACCACAGGGATGCTTTACCTGGTCACTGCTTGTTTATAAAGGCTTGGGATCAATCCACAGTAACCCAACATGGAAGCATCGCCATGTGTTAGTTACAACTCCTAACATATATGGTGCTGCATCACAGCCTGTGTTGTATACATGCCTATCAAGTAAAATCAACAGAAAAGGCCCAGAGAAAGTGTAGGCATCTGAGGGAACTGACAGGCTTGCTGAAGCTTCAACTTCAAGTCAAAGTCAGACCAGCAATAACTGGAAGTCATTTTGAGTTGGCAGGTATTCAGCAGCTAGTGGGAATTGAATGAGATCTCAGTCCAGTTCCCGAGAGTTAGATGTCCACACTGCCAAAAGCACTCTCTGCATAAATTGTTATTTATCTACTCACAGAACAAAACGTCTCGCAATTGCCCATCACTACGGTGTCTTGGCCTCTCCTGTGGCAAGCTTTGAATGGACATGCAAATCACCATGGCCAAGTTGGTGTTGAAACGCATTGTCTTGCCCAGCAGACAAATGTGCACTGTTGCTTACACTACCTGTGTTGACAGTGTTTGTTGTTCTGCTGGTGATAAGGTCAGCACTTCTGAACAGCCCTATATTTAAACCTGTGAAAGCACTGGCAGCGGAAGGGCCTGGCTGGTAAACAGTTAAATGGCTGAACTCCACTGGAACTATTCTTTGCAGCTCAGAGTTGTCCTTCCCTTCTGAAAGGACATCAATACCAAATCTTGCTGCCACCAGATGGTTTGTCTTGCTGTCCAATTAATCAGTAACAGTCTCAATCTATAACAAGAGTTATGCATTTCCTTACCAAGATTGCATGGTTGCTCGGAGCCCAATAAATTGAGTTGCCCCCCTGTTTCACGTTTTATGATCTTGCGTTGCTTGTTGATTTCCAAACTGACTATGGGGTCACGTTTCAGGTTATAGATCTGCAGGAGGGAAGGGAGGGAGAGAGGCAAGTCATGTGAACAACATTACCTAATCAGAAAGGATAACACTTCTTAAGAATTGATTCAGGCAAGCTGTGAAGCTTTTGTGGTGTTGTGTACTTCTGTAATTGCCAGCCTAAAGAACACCTGCTTGTCTGGAGATACAAGAACCACTTTGCATGCATTCTTTTGTTATTGAGGCTTAATTCAGTACAGTATCTTGTCATCCTTTTAAAGGTCCTACATCCAGACATCTGTCTAAGGTCTCTGCTCCCAGCTTTTCAAGGCCAGAAACTCAAGGACTGTGAGTGTCTGACAACTTTATCCAGGGTCACACTAGTGTGTAGCATCTCCCCTCTGTCTCTGAATGAACTGGCACATCCATTTGTCCCAGAACAGTGCAGTCATGATGCTCTGGACTGAGTTGCGGAGGCTCCAAAACTTCCATCCCTTCGTTGGGCATGACCCAATCATTTCTGGTTTTGAGAAGAAAATGATCAGAGTAGAAATGACATACAAAACTAGTTGAACAGGAAAGACTTACAGTTTCATTTTAGCCATTGGCAAATTACAGTAGTTTGAATCAGAGACCAGTAGCTACGTAGTGTGAAGGGCCAGATGAGCAGAAAGGGACCACACCAGTACCGGTAGGCTTCTCAGCACTGCCTACAATGCAAGCCAAGAGGCAAGAGTCCAAATCTTTATGCCTCTGTCTGTGGGTAGGGAAGGATGCAGGCAGCCAGCAGCTCTGTAAACTGCCAGTAATTTATAGCATGAGATGTCTTACACAAGACAGCCCCACCCTTTTCATTGCTGTGGACTGCTACTTCTGCTGGCAGGGTACAAGGGACAACACCGTTGTCACACAGATAGGGCAGTGCTCCATGCTGTGTGCACGTGGATGTATACAGACTCTGTGGGAGACATTCAGCAAACAGCGAGTTACATTATCAGTGGTCCCACTTCATCTCCATTGCTGAACACTACATGAGAAAAGTTGGTTAAAAAAAACAGCCTCTGGGCCAACAGTATCTCAGCAATCATCGATGATGTTGCTATCCCTCCCCATGACCTGCTTCCAAAGTGATGTTGACTCTATCTGGGAACTTTGCTTCTAAAGTATGAGCCCTGAGCCCTCCTGAATTTACAGCACAGGTTATTAAACAAACATATCTGAAAAAGTGCTTTTCCACCGAGGCTGTCTGGGTCAATACAAAGTTAGCATATTGTGGTAGGAACATCAACAGGAGAAGGAAAACTCGGCAGCTGGTGAAAAACAGCAAAAAAAAAAAGCATTATCTAAAGCATAATAGGAAAGAAGTCATGAGATAGCAGGGCCAAAACCATTGCTCTGACACAGCAGGATACTTCTCAGGAAAGGGCAGAATCCTACCTCTTCCTCCTCTAATGTCTGACACTCGGCGCAGCACAGCCCTTCTGGGAAAAACAGCTTCATATCCCGGACAGCTATTTGATAGGATTTGGAGCCTGAGAGATAAATACAATGAGAAGATTCTCTCAGGCCATGAATTAAACATTCTCTAGACTCACACTCATCTTTCTGAGAGATTGATGATGTGCAACTTACTGAAGTAATTGCTTTAAAGGCCAGCTGTTCTGTACAGTAATAGCAAACATTTAAAACCATTATATTTAGAATAGTTCCATTGCCTTCTTGGTATTTTGATTCCATCCTATTATTGCTCAGCTTGTTCTTCATGTAAACAAGACTCCTTCTAGTTCCTAACAGTGTAGTCAAGGGAATCGTGTTAAGGAGCCTGTGAAACTCTTCAATACCAGCTCCAGTCCCCCATTGTTGTTCCCTTGCTTCTAGATCACATCAGGCTGGTCTTACAGAATAGGAAGGAGTAACTAGTTAGTAAAACAACTGTGCTTAGTATCAATAATGTAAGTCTCAAAGATGCTGGGGGCTCTGATTTACAACAGAAATCAGAATTAGTATGAGACATTGCTGATAGCAGTATATTTTTCTGTTTATCTGTGGTCACAAACAGTAAATTGAGACTGGACACGTACAAAGAATGTGAGGATCATGGAAGCAATGGATAATCATCTGAAGAGTTAAAACTGAAAGACTTTGGCTTGTTTGACCCAACATGACACAAAACTGAGAAGGAATCTGATTTCTAGTAAACACATCAGGGTGGCAAAGGTCAGAGAAGAAAAAAGAACTACTTAAAATTAAAGTACAGGTACTGGCACAAGAACAAATGGATACAAACTGTATATGACTATATTTAAGTGAAAACATAAGAAGATTTCTAGCTATCAGAGCAGTGAGGTTCTGTAACAACCATCCAGTTGGGGTGAATACTTATGAAAGGGAATACATGACTGCGAGAGAATTAACTGAACTCAGTGACTTGAGAGGTCCCTCCAGGCTTAGCATCTGAATATTTCCCTATAAAGCAACAGTGTTACAAAGCATTACTCGGAATGTTTTGAGATTTATAGCTGGAAAACATTAGAGAAGGAAAAGCTATTTCTATATAACTGGAGTTCAGATAGATTGTCAATGTGCTGGCACAGATCCATACTCCTGGGATACAAATACACAAAATGCAAATATCCTCTGAAATATTACCACCTTTGCAGGCTGCCCATTCAAAGAATCATGTCTGTCTGCTCTTCGAGTTCTCAGCCCTGTTTGAACTTCATAATTCTAGGTATCGTATAGCCAGAGTCCTTAATGCAGTAGTTAACAATCCTAAGATTGCAGAAGTCACCAGTGTGTAAGTTGTGCTGTATCTTTTATATACCTCTATGTCAAATCTTCTTTGTTTAAATCATTGATGCCATTACAAGACACAAATGCTCCCAAAGCTAGCAACATTTTACTCTCACTTTGCTCAAGGTATAAGACTGTTTAAGATGCATGCGCAAGAGCTCTTTGGGTTCAAAAAGTACTATACAATGACTGTGTAAGACCCAGAAGAGATGAGTACAGGTTTACTTCTGTAGCTGAGCCTCAGAGTATTAAAAGTACAGTATTTGGTTTGACTGTATCACTGGAACCTGGTCTTTATCTTACTTGAATTTCCCCAATAACTTTGCAAGGAAACACACAGCTAGAATTTGCTCTACTTCAGCAAGACAGCATTAACTACAAACCTTCCTCAGCTGGAGCAAAACTAAGAAAACTTCGTATTGCCTCCTAGGAAAGGAATATGGTCTTCCACAGTCCCCCAAATGATTACTCATGCAATGATTAAGCTCTTCCTGCTTAACTTGTAGGTAAATGTTTCACCCTTATTGAAGGACAAGCTCTTGGAGGTGCAAGGGGTTATGAACACTCCTTTCCTTATGGACAGACACCTCCCTGGCATAGCAACTGGATCAGACTCTTGAGTCAGAATTACTGAGTACATTAGCTACAGCTGCATCCATTTTCCTTGAATGTGTGCAAGGATGCCTTTGTGAGCCAACTATATAGCTGGCTCCAATGTAATGCACAACCTGGTCTCAGAAAGCAGGTGGTGGCCAACCAGTTCAGCTCTGTGCTCAGCCCAGTCTCAGAAGGAAGCAGGGGTCTGAAGGGAATCCCTAAGCAGACATATGAGGGTTTCTCTAACACAGTGAGTTCTCTGTGACTTCCAATGAAAGACAGGATGAGACTCAGCCTCTCTTGCTAATACAAACTAATCTTTAACTGAGTTATGCTAGGGATGCTCTAACTGTAGCACGGGTATCTTAAGTTTTGGGTGTATATTACCCATTCTTAGCCATGACTGATGAGTTCTCATTCTCAAGGCAACCTGGATACACAGTCCATTAAGATTAAGAGCAAAAGAAGTAGGGGCCCATAGTGGAAAAGTATTGGCTGAAGAGCCCTGACCATTTCTTTTGTGTAGGTAGATGCTGCTCTTCAGTTACTCCCACAAATGAGATCGTGTGAGTAATCATGGTGAGATCTCTCTCTCAGTTTAGTCTTGGTCCTAAGAATTATCATAGTATCTGATAATAAAAGATTCTACATCAAGGGGTTGATTCTCTTCCCCAAGCTGTACATGGTGACTACTTCATTCCCTACCAGTTCTCCTCAAAAGACCACTTGATATGGACAAAAAGAGGGAGTGATTTGACAGCACAGAATACAATAGAAAGAGCCAATTAATCCAGTGGATCTTGACAGGAAAGTTCTTCAGGAACATGAAGGCATACAGTGCCTGTTAGCTCACCTGTGTTTATAGAAACTATTACTTTTACTTTTCTATTCCCTTAACTACATACCACACAATTGGTACCACACTGAGGAAAAATGCTATTCATGGGCAGTGAACTAATGATGCTTAATTCCTCGTGAGTTTTTGAATTACATGCTTCCTTCCTTGTGGCAATAACCTAGGCCCTCTCCAGCAATACCTTTGGTTCTCTATAGACCACTCTCTCCAGCAATACTTCCCATTTTCCCATCCTTCACCCACACTCTCAGCTATCTCCCGTCCCACTCGTCCACCATACACATTACAACATCCTAGATCCCTCCCCCCTGGCAGATGAACTGTAACTGGTTCAGCACACTGAGGATGCTGACTAGCTGATGTGCCTCTGCTGATGTGTCTCTGCTGATGTGCCAGCTGGCAAGAGCTTCTCCGAATGGAAAACAGCTGAGTTTACCTGCTTTCCTCAGTGAGAGCAATTTTTGATCACCTCTCCCTAGCCAGTCATTAATGTTTTGAGATGTTACAGGAACTCAGTATCTTGGAGTCTTTTATCCCTCTGTGAAATCTGGTTGCAGTTGGCTAATGGGTTATGAAGTTATCAGGAGAGGACACACAAGCAGATAGAAGACAGATAGGTTCTTGGGGATAATTACAAAATAACCAAGCTAAAAGTACAAAATGACCAAGCAGTGAAGAGATCAAAGGAAATCTGTTCTGATAGAAGACAGATCTAGGGCTGTTCTGGGAAGAAACCTTTTTTTAATATATCTTCTGGGAGAATATTTCATAGCTTGAACATACTCAGCTCAGCCACCAAGAAAACAATGAAAGCTTTCTAGGGAATAATGGTCTCTACTGCCTGCCAAGGCTAGATCTGTGTTGACAATGCAGGAGGTAACAGTACATAACATATTTTTTCCATTGGCATATCTGAGCCTTCAGACTTTTCTTTTACAAAAACCTACCATAAAATCCATTTTGGACTGTGCTGATGCCATACTGAGCCCTCCAGAGGAACGGATCTAGTGCTTGGGCTAGTTTAGGATCCTCTGGCCCTAGTAAATCTATCAGCTTCTTCACAGCATTTGGCCTCTGAAGACACAGCACGAGAGCGGTGCCTGAGGTAAGGTAGGTACAATGAGCTTCTAAACCAGCAGGATCCTGAAAAGAAATAACAGGGAGGGAACAGGTTATAATGAGCAGTGTTGGTGAGCGCTGGGTACATTCCAGCTTTCCTTTGGCTAGACCCATCCCTGTTTGAAGCAAACAGATCTGCCATTACTCCTTGATTTCTCTCCTCTTTGTAATATACATGCTAGTGGTCTCTGCAGGGAGAGCTTCCAGAGTATATACCATGGCCACCAAGCCAGTACTTGTGACATCCACCAGGTAAATAGGAGGTCTAGTTCCCACCCTGAGTCCACACAGAGCTAAAGAAAAAATTAAGCACTGAGCTTAAGCCATAGCAGCTTGTGGCTTTAGTCCCCATGGTCATAGATCAGCCAGTGGTAGTTTTTACACATACAACTTTAGCAGTAATTTCCTAAAATCTTTTAATAAGAAAGGAAACAAAACCCTATTTCTAAAAGACAGAAAAGCCTTGTGCTGTGACTCATTCTGCATATCTGTACACACAAGGTACAGAGGTGTTCATTTTCAGGGGGTAATGACAAAAACAAATTGCTACTCTGCAGTTTACTTGCCTACTGCTGAACTTTGCAATATCCTTTTCACAGTACCTTCAGTGTGACATATGGATAGGGTGGAACCAGTGGACATTAGCAATATCAACAGGGTCATAAATGCTCTGGGATAAGGAGCCACATTTAATTCTTCCACTGATATAAGATGATGGATTACAAATACCAGAACTTTTCTTTTTGAATTCACAAACGGAAGGACCCCCACACCCACCCTGCTGCTACAGCCTAGCTTCTCCCAGAGGGTGGTAGAATTTCATACACTAGTTAGGATCAGGACTACAAAAATAGCAAGCTTAAAACAAGGAGGTTTAGGACAGGGCACTAGACAGGGGCTGGAAAAAGACAGTTCGCCCTTCTGGCTTTGCCACCGATGTGTGCTCCATGACAAATTTCTCAACCTTTGCTTCTTTTCCAAGTGTAGTCCGCTTGGCCTGTGACCACTCCTGAGCAGAGATGTGGCCTGCACAGCTATAAGAGGAACAACACCCTGGGATCTTTATTTTAACTAAGGGTGAGTAGCAACGATAACTAGCAACCACTGCACCAGTGAGAAGAGTCTGAGTTGTAGGCTGGAGACAGACATAATGATTGAGAAGCACATGGAAAGGTAGCAAGTGCCTGGGGCAGGAGGCTACCAAGGGGCAGCAAAGCACTCACAGCCTTGCTGACTGTTTTAATTAAGCAAACCTTGGAAAGCCAGGCTTGTTGTACATGTCTCCACTGAGCGTAACATCAGGGTGCTTGTAGCAGCTGCAGGCTGCCTCCTCCTGCCCCCTTCATCTTAATAAGGTGACAGGAGCACCCAGCTCTGGCTCCCTGCACTCCACAGTGCAGTAACACCCGTGCTGCAGAGAAGCTCCATGCCAGCGCTGTATGTTCTGTACAGCCTGCAAACAACAGCATTTTCAGCTCGCTGGCTGAACCAACCCATGGTTATTTACTTTCTTCCAATTTCTGAGGAAATTAAAACAAGGGGGAAAAACACTGTCTGATTCAGCTGAATCACATCATTCAGCCCCCTAAAGGTTTTAATTCCTCTATTTTTTAATCTCCTAAAAGCACCAGAGTATGGCAATTCTCTAGATAAAACATTTCCAAAAGAAAATCCCATCATTTCATTTAAAAATATGGAGATAAATTACTTCAAGGCGTCTTTTGCTTTTCTATCATACGAAACCATTCACTGACTTTGACCCAAATCTTCTCTCACTCGCCTGCCTCCTAAACTGCATTTCTAAGAAGTAGGGTATAAATTAAAAACTACAGGCTCAATCCTGATATTCTCCCCTGTATTTGAAAACACAAAATGATCCATAAGAAAGCCCCCCATTCTTAAATTGGTTAGTTACGTAAGGTATTTGATAGAAGTTGTTGTATTTGTCAATCCTCCCACCCCATGGAAATACAGGGCAAAGGAAACCCTACAATGTCAGTCACATCACATGACTGCACATGTGAAACGTACAGGAAAGTTTCACAGGCTCTGTTTAAATGAGGATGAAGAGTTTCAGCATGTCATAGTATACTGCAACATTTTGACATGAATTCAGTTCTGTATAATACAAAATAAACCCTTTTTGCTTGAAAATTTTTGTTAGTTTAAAAAAATGTGTATATAATCCACTTTTCTAAGGGCTTTCTCTTTGGGAGATGAAAAACAGTGATGATGACTTCATGAAAACTTTCAAAAGGACTGGATATAATGTATCAACATTCATTCATGTCAGAAACATCTGCAAAAGAAAATGTTCAAAGACATAGTTTCTGTTAGACCATAATAAATGAAATTATTTGTTCCAGAGCTTCCAAACAGTGCTTTTGGATCTACGTAACAAAACTCTTTTGTCTCCATTTCCTGTCTTTCAGTGGTTCCCCAGCAAACCTGCAGACTGTGGGTTAAAGACAATGTTTCTAATTGCTACTGACGATGTCAGTGAGTCAAGGTGACTTCTTTCCTTCTGATAGATCCTCACATCCGCTCTAGACTCTGCCAGCCAAATGATGCCTTTATTTACATCCTGCCTCCGCACTGTCTTCAAACCATGTCCTTGCTGACACCCAAGCAGCTGCGGTGAGATCGCACATGTGCAGCTGACTTGAATTCAGTGAGCAATTTTGTTGATGCACACAGAGAGGAAGTTCCAGCTGTGTGCTGGCTCTGGAGGACTAACAGGATTAAAAAGCAGCAAAATTCTCCTTCTGCTTCTACTGTTAGAATCAAGAGATACGACTGGAGGGAATCTGTCAAGATATTGAGTCTAGTGACCCGCTACTGCAGGCAATTGTATCAGGTAATCCCCAACGGAATGAGCGGGTCCCACTGTAAAATCAAGCTTTCTAGCTAGCAGCCAAAACTGCGAATCTCTGCAGGACTGGATCTGCTGGATAAGCACAGAAAGGAGATACAGCCTCCACAGGCAGAACTCCCTCTGGGAGCAGTTGCTTCTTACAGTCTGAACACGATCAGGTCATTCTGGGAGCTGAGAAGACAATGTCAGCTCTATTCACCTGACCTTTATTTTTTTAAATTATTATTAAACTTCAGATAAAAAGTATTATCATGGCTCCTGTGATTAGATAACCTCAGCAAACAGCAGACCAATCCATTATTTATTGTATGCCAAAGGCCAAAAGCTACTTAGAAGCTGAATGTTAGTATTTAAGTTGAAAAAGCAATCATGTCTGAAATCATGTTGCTGAGGATATTTGTCAACATGCATGTAAATAATACATTTGAAAGAGGAAGGAGGTGCTAGGTAGTCTTGCTACCAGTGAATAAACCCCAAATCTGCTATCAAGTACTAAGTACACAAAACAAACTGGCAAATGGCAGAGCACATGGGAGTTCTCTAAAGATTTTTGGAGGTAGATTTTGGATCAGGTTCCAGGTGAGGAGGAGATAAAAAGCCCTGGACAGAATTTCTAGAAGGGTCAGACACACTGGCTCCATGTTCTTCAACAGGAGAGGCTAAATTTCAGCAATTTGTTCCCATATTAAGAGCCTCATTTTAAAAACAGCATTGTATCCCAATTGTCCCCTAAACTGAGAAACAGATCGAAAAATGAACATTGCTCCAATTCAAATGCTTTATATGAAATTTAGCTGTGAAAAATAGTTCTGCCCCCACCATTGTAATACTTACAAGCCAGATTTTCAAAATAACCCAGTCCCTGAAGCATGCTGAGGCTTTTTGAAAATCTGCCTACTTGGGAGCTCAGTCTTTTTCAGCCCTCATGAGTGAAAGAGTTTCGGCTGTGTTCTAAAAATGAGAAGGAACCCCTGTACAGTTTCCTACTGTCCACTCCCCCCTTGCCAAAGGCAGTCTATTATCTCTGCTTTCTCACTTTCAAAACCTGCTGTTTTTTCCATGAACAAAATCCCAATATTCTGTAATTTTTAAACTCATTAGTCACCAGCTCTTCAAGGAAACTAAATCAATGCTCAACAGCTGCTCTAATGTGTTAGAGAACTCAAAAAATAAGAGCAAATTTTCATGAAACAACCTTTCTTCAAATTTACCCCACATGTATCTACATTACTGCCTAAGGTAGAAATTCGGATTTTTTAAAATGTTTTCTGTTTCAGATGATTAACTAAGCATTTTTGTATTTAGCTGTATGATTAAAAACTGTATTGGAAAGCACTTCCCCATCAACTCTAATAGCCACTATATCCCTCTTACCAGTGGTCTGTAAATATTTAAAAATCAGATGCTTGTGCTCCATTGCTTTGCTGTCATGCAGAAAGTATTAATTGTTCCTGTTTGATGGTTATGTTAGAGCGCTGTCCTGGCATGTTCCTGTCTTCTTCTGGAAGACTCTATTAAGAAATTCTACAAGAGAGTGCTATAAACTCTCCCAACTTAACCCAAGAGCAGTATCGATTTTAAAGGCTTGTTTTCTATAAAATTTAATTGGTTAAAGGTCTTCATAAAAGCAATCAAATAACCAGGATATTTTTTTTCCAAGGTGGGTGCGGGGGTGTGGAATCTAACTCTAAAATGCTCAGCTTTCAGTTTCCTGGCTTTCACAATATCTTTACACTCGTCTCAGGATATTTCAGGTTGGGAACAACATAATTTCCAATGCTACAGAAGAGAAGAAACATAAACCTATTTTTATCTAACAAAAACTCGTAATGCCCCAAGATTTAAGAACCCTCTTTATTATCTGTTAGACACTAGAAATGACAGTAACTCAATTTTCTCTCTTTGCAGGTCATTTTTACAGACTCTTGAACACATGGTCCTGGAACAGAGATTCAGCTGTATATGTAATGTAATATAAGGCAAGAGGGCTCCAGAGGTATATATTCTCTGGCACTGCAATGAATGTATGAATGTTTCCCAGCTCCCAGGTTTAAACACATAGA